GTAGTTCTTGTGTGACATGGGATGCTCAGGTCTAAGATCCAAGAGTTATTTTTGGATTGGAATCACAGTCAGACTCTGGGGAGACAAGGCTGGTAGGAATTGGATAAGAGTGCTATATATCCATATAATTTAAGGCTAAGCTCTAGCCCCAACTTAGAAGTAGAGTAAAACCCAGAAAGAAGTGTTGAAAAGCGGTCCATGTGTGGTGGGGATGAGTAGAGAGGCTGAAACTTGCTTACACAGGTCCTAAGGGTCTTGGTTCCACCAGGGAAACTGTGTCCATAGTCTCTAATGAATGGGATGAGAGCTTCTTGAATGTGGCCACAACTGATGCCATTGGCTTGGCCCCACTAGAGCTGACCCTGAGGTACCGAGTTATTGTTTGTTGGCAGCTTTGGAGATGCTAGACTGGCAAGGATTTAGAAAGAGCTGGGAAAGACTTGCTAACCACTATGTTGGGTCTGTTACGGCAAGGAAGTGGAGAGACAAGAAGAGATGGAGACAAGTCAGGGGTCAGAGACCAACGTTGGCTGTTTCCTATCTAAGCCCTTACTCACCTAGTATCTCTTTTCTTTGGCAGCCCTCTCTGGGAGATGGTACAGGATGGCATTGACCTCAAGAGCATCAAGTGGACACAACACTAGAAGAGTGAGCCTCTGACTTTGTGCAGACTGGCTTCTGCCTCACCAACCCATGCACATCTGGGTATTTTGTTATACCCAGTGGATGCTTCATGTTCAAACCAGAATTGGTGTAGCCCACTTGACTTCAGCATTAGCCCACCTCCAAGATAGAAACACAAGAAACTATCTTTCCTGAGCCTCAGCACCTTTGGTGGAGAACACGCACCATTTCTCTCTAGGAGTCCTTCTCTGGTCTTACGGTGGATGGATATTCTTGGTGGAGAGAGCCAGAGGAACTGGAAGAAGGTTCTTTGTGCAGGGACCTCAGTGATATACATGGACTTTTGAATGTTGCTTACTACTACTCAGCAAGACTGACTCCTTCAGGAACAACATAATCAACTATTTAATTTCTTTTTTGGCTCCAAAAGCCACCTCTTCATGTTATAGACTGAACAGCAAGTTTTTTAGAAGGCTTGTCTCCTGTTCTTGTCCTTCATTTCTTTTGACCTAATGAAGCTAGAAATATCTATGTGACTCCATCTACTATTCTAATTTATGTTTCTTTGTAAAAAATTGTTAATCTGCAGATTAAAGAAATAAATTCACCTTCCTGTATTTACTTTGTGACTTTATGAAAGTCTCAGGGAAAATTCCATGCTATGCTTGGGAATCATGGAGCAGACTACCACTCTACTTGATTTCCATAGATGACTCAATCTGCTTGTATCTTTTTTTTTTTACTTTTTTAAAAATTTATTTCTGAGAGAGAGAGACAGCATGAGCAGGGGAAGGTCAGAAAGAGAGGGAGACACAGAATCTGAAACAGGCTCCAAGCTCTGAGCTGGCTGTCAGTACAGAGCCCGACGCAGGGCTCGAACCCACGAGCCGTGAGATCATGACCTGAGCCAAAGTCGGACGCTTAACCGACTGAGCCACCCAGGTGCCCCTGCTTGTATCTTTTTATTCATCAGTTATTTGAGTGTTTCTCAGGTGCCTAATGTTGTTCTGAGTATTGGACCAAAAGGACCCTGCCCTCACTGAGCTTTCATTCTAGTAGAGAAACAAAAAATAAGACATAAATAAGGCTATTATAGATTGTGGTGGGTGCTATAGAAGAAATATAATGGCAAGAGGAAATAACAGGGAGAAACTACTATGCTATGTATACTAGGAAAGCTTTTTTAAGGAGGTATTACTTAAGCAAAAACATGATTTCCAGCCATGAAAGAATGAGATGAATGAGGAATGAGAAGCAACTGGAAGAGCAAAGGGCCTGAGGTATGAAAAAGCATGTGTTTGAGAAACCTATAGAGGGCAAATGCAGTTTTCATTTGTGGGTCTGACACTGTAGGTGGATAGTTACCAGCACTAAAAAAAAAAAAAAAAATCAGGAGAAAAAATAGATTACATCAGTGTATTTTAAGTAGTTTTTTTGTTTTTCTACTTTAAAAAAAAAGTTTATTTTTAAGTAATCTCTATACCCATATGGGGCTAGAAACTACAACCCTGAGATCAAGAGTCTCATGCATATGACTGAACCAGCCTGGTAACCCTTAAGTATTTTATTTGATTATATATTTGATTGTGTATACCTGGCTCCAAGTGTATTATGTGAGTGATAGTCAAAAAAATTTGAAAGCTACTAGCTAGAAGTATGGTAAATACAGGTAGACCAGAGGAGGAAGTTTTTAAATAAATTTTTCATTATGAATAATCTTTTTTAAGTTTATTTATTTATTTTGAGAGAGAGAGACCATGCAAACAAAGGAGAGATAGAAGGAGAGAGAATCCCAAGCAAGCTTCACACTGTCAGTGCAAAGCCCGATGCATGGCTCAGTCTCACAAACCATGAGATCTTGACCCAAGTCAAAATCAAGATTATGGCACTTACCTCAAATACTCAGGAGCCATTATTCTGAATAGTTTTAGATTTAGAGAAAGTTTGCAAAGACAGTACAGAGGTAGATGTCCATCACTTAATTTCTTCTAATTTTAACAACTAGTATAAAACTTGGCATATTTGTCAAAACTAAGGGATTATTAGCATCTGTACATTAGTATTAACTACAGATTTTATTCAGATTTCACCAGTTTTCCCACGAATGTCTTATTTCTATTCCAGAAGCCAATCCTGGATTCCAAATTGCATTCAGTATGTTTTGTTTTTAATGCACTATATTATAGCTACAAAGAGTATATATAATGAGGTGTAGGTTTATTTTTTTTTAAATGTTTTATTTATTTCTAGGAGAGGGAGAGACAGCGTGAGCAGGGGAGGGTCAGAGAGAGAGGGAGTCACAGACTGAAACAGGCTCCAGGCTCTGAGCTGGCAGTCAGCACAGAGCCCGACGCGGGACCCGAACCCACGAACCGCGAGACCATGACCTAAGCGAAAGTCGGACGCTTAACCGACTAAGCCACCCAGGCGCCCCAGTGTAGGTTTGATTTAAAAGTGAGACTGGATTTTCTAATTTGCTGCTTTTGGCATACTGAGCTAGCACCAGGCAAGTCTGCCACGCAAATCTTCGCAAAAGCTTGTTGGAACTGTGGAAATTTAGTCCCTGATTTTCTTAGTTGATTCCTTTCTGATTTGGAAGATTAGTTCAATTTTGGTAATAGTCATCATGTTGAAAACTAGCCTCTGTACTCCAGAGCTGGAATATAACAGGAAGACAGTTTGGGGATAAAGAGGAAAGGCCGTTTTATTTACTTCCAGGCAAAGGAGGCTGCAGCAGTTTTTAATGCCTTCAAAACTGCAGACCCACGCTGGATAAAGGCTAAGGGGTTTTATAGGAAAATACAGGATCTGGGTGGTTTGGATAGGAATCTGGTAGTATTCCAACCTTATTGGTCAGGTCTTCATAGTGATCTCATGACCAGTGCTGGCAATGGCCATCCGAGTCTCATTACTAGACATACATTGAGGAAAGCGAGATGTCAACACTGACGCGGAGTTCCTGAAACAAATTATTCTACCAAAAACAAAAACAAAAAAACCAAAAAAATGGGGGGTGGGGAGCAGAAGCTTTAAGAATGAGGAACACAGGGAAAATATTGTTCAGTTTAAAGTCAAGCTTTGCTGAAGCATTAGTGTGTCCATCTTAATTTCTATCCATCTTTACTTCTCTATAACGATTTCAATCACGATAATTGGGTATAGGCAGGGGGAGTAGACAGCATAATTTTTTCTATAATACAATAATACTAAATACTAAATATAATACTAAATACTAAAATGCAGTCCGTTAATGAAGACTAGTGGGTAAGGCTCCCTGGGCTGAAATTTTTAACTGGGGAAAAAAAAATTAGGTTTCGGTTCTTTTGTTAGGGCATCGTCAACAGAGCAGGGCACTACTTTGTGATCCACTTCAACCTCTACACCACTACGCGAAGACGCTATCTCTTCCCTTTCGCAGTGGCTGGAAAAACTGAAGCAATTTGTACAAACTTCCGCAGTGAACAGGCGACCCAGGTACTTTTACCCATCCCACCACGTAGCGTCCTCCCCGTAAGGCGGGGCTAGTACGCAAACGTCGCACGTTAGGACTCAAAGCTCCTTTCGCCACAAATACCCGCAACTTCCGGCAGATTGCCCAAGAACCTCAGCGCGCTTGCGCCGTGCCGCCCCGTGATGTCACTACTCCGTCCCGCCCCTGCTGGAACGCGAAGCTGCTGAGCGGGCTGTCGGCCATTTTGTGAAGCGGCGAAAGAGGTGGTGGCTGCTGTGGGCTCCGGGAAGCCGTTCGGGCTGGGGCTGTCGGCCGCGGGGCGGAGGCACTCGCGCGGGGGGTAACTCGGGTCTGGGTTCGGGTGCCGCGCAGCTCTCCCCGGTAAGACTCCCGCAGCCCGGAACGGGCGGGGCTGTGCGGGGCTCGAGCCGCCCCTTGGTGGCCCGGGGCGGGGCCTTCGGAGGCCTCCGAGCCCGCCGCAGCGAGCGCCCCACACAAAAGGGTCGCGGCGTGGCTGCGGGGGTCTTGGGGCGCCGTTTGCGCCTTTGAAGCCTGAGAGGATGCAGGAAGGACGCAAGACAGGATGAGCCTGCATACCGAAGTGGGGACGAGGCCATAGTGAGGACGCCCCCGTGGTCTGAGAGGGAGGAAGCCACAGCTGGGTGGCCCAGCGGCCTGCGAACTAACGGGGATTGCAGTGAAAACACACCTACATCCCGAATGAGTCAGATTTTCTGCGCCTCCCAAAAAAGACAGAGATTGTAACTCCATCTCTGTGTCCTGTAGTGAGGAGATAACGTAGTGAGGACACTCCCTACATCCGAAGTGGAAAGGAGGCTCCGGTGGCCTAACAGGAAAAGGGGACTACAGTCAGGCCTACAGGACACACCTGTGAGGAGGAAGCTGTCGTTACTCTCTGTGAGTCTAGGAAGGAAGTCAGAACTGGTCGCCTTCGTGGCCTGAAGGTGGAGTGGGTTGCAGGGAAATACTTCCCAGGCTCAGCGTTGGGCGGGACCTACCCTCGAGGGTGTCGGCGATTTGAGAAGCCGGTCTCTGTAGCGAGAAAAGTGGGGGTGAGTACTCCTCCCAAGCCTCTGAGAATTGTAGTGAGGTGCCAGATCTTTGGTCCCCAAGTAGGGAAAGGGCTACAGGGAGGACCACCTTCACAGATACCTTGGAGAGAGCCTCCCGCTCTGAAAGAGGAGGAGGTCCTTTAGGATGTGGAGGGTGGGTGCTTTCGATGAGTGAGTTGATTTTGTCTAGTGGAAGCTAGAGGTGCTAGTTGGCAGCCACGTGAAATAGGTGGGAGGGGCTTTGAGGATCTACAGGTTAGTGTTGGGGTTGGACACCAGTGCGGGTGGCTTAGCTGCCAGATTGCAAATGCATGGACTTTATGTGTGCCTGTAATGTGTGCTTTATAGTGAAAAATGTAAGCGGCTTCGGTGAAGGTTATTTTGGGTTATTCAGCAGAAAACATGCTGGGAGTTTTGTATACTGTGTTGCAGGCTCCGGAGGAGAGGTTTCTGGACCCTAAAACTGTCCTAAAACCCTGGATTTCCAGAGATAACCTAATGTATATTGTGGTAGTTGTTAGGAGCCATTCTGTATGATTCAAGAATAGTGTAATTCCACTCAGTATAACCTGAGAAAAAAAGTAATTGCAACTCAAGGATTGTTGAAGGAGAGACTTACAACTGGAGTATTTCTTTTGCTTGAATGGTTTAAAAGGTGTTATTTTTGTAAAATGCAGTGTTAGTAACGTATTGCCTTGGACTTCATTATCTAGTTTGTATTGTTAATGTATTTCAGAGCATTTGCAGTTGAAAGGTGTCCTACAAGTCTGGACATAACAGGCTGATTGTTTCGTGGGTTTTGTTTGTTTGTTTGTTTTTTGTTTGTTTTTATTATAGAAATATACAAGACTGGGTTGTACTTGTTTTTGAAATTTGGTGGTTTTGACCCAAAGGAGGATTTCTGGATTTTGTGGGAAGTAATTGTGTTCAGGCATTTCCCAAGATCATTAAAAAGTTGGAAAGAACTGTTACAGGTGGTTAAAATAATTTTATGGTAATTTTGTAAGAAAATTAAATATTTGGCCTGTTTGTATAAAGGTTGAGGATGTACTCAGTATTATTACTGGGAATTTTTTTTTTAACATAACAGGGATTTAACGTAACAGGATGCATTTATATTATCTTTATATGCTCAATTAAGTATTTATGGATTGTAATGTATAATTTGTTTTTCTTATGATCATATCTGTTAGGTGAAAAATGTGAAGCTTTAGAAACCATTGTGGTGGTCACTTGGAACATATTGTTATGTGCTAATATCAGTATACTTCTGGCTTCTTTCACTTTCTTGTTACATGCCAAATGTTTCAATGGTTGCATATTGAGAATTTGGGGGTTGTTGGTACAATTTTTAGATGTGAAACTTGATTTTGTGGGCCAGTGTCTTCCAGGTGCTGGAATTCAGTGACCATGTTCATACTGTTTTTATTCCATTTTGTAGAGAGCCACTTCGTCTTTCAGCTTGGATGAATATTTTCCTCTGTAGATGTTGTAGAAAGAACTTCTAAGAGTCAGTAACTGGTTACACAAAAGATACTTTTAGATATCTATCCCTAAAATCTAGAGACTTGTCCATTCCTGTATCTTCTGCCCTGGCCACAACTACTTAATAAATGATCGTGATATAAATGAATGTTAAATATTTTAGGTCAACTGAACAGAAAAATAACTTCACCTAATTTATAGTTTAACACACTTTACTACCACCGCTTATATGCATTTTGGTTTGCAAAGAGTTTATTTCATTAAGTTTCAAGCTACCTTTCAAGTCTTAAGGCCGATAGAGGGAGGGTTTACATGGTTGGCTAGGTTAAAAGTAATATTGTTGCTTTCAAGTTTAAATCAAGTAAGATGATGGAAATAATTATTGGCATGAGGGGGGATTGAAAAACAATACAGTCTTTTTGGCAGGAGGAATATGTATCTTATTTAGAAATGTCTTTTGGTTTGCTGCTTTTGATAATTGACTGGAGGTTAATGGGAAAGTTGAGTAATGGGCTATCTAAAAAAGAATTCATGCCCTCAGTGTCAGAATTGTTTCGTTAAGAACGATCACAGAATCTGAAGTGTGATCCATTTGGGTATGGGGAAAAAATCAAGTGGATGAAGCTTTGGGTTTTTTTCTGTAATGCCTACCATATAATGTGGTTATTCGGCTGATAGCATTGTGCCTGTTATGATTGGTTCTCTCTTGCTCATGTCTGAGGTGACATTTGAAGGGTGCTGGTTTTTGTATTTTTTGAACCTAAAGAACTTTGGCTCTGCTGTACCTGATTACTGAACAAAGTTGAAGTTCACTTTTTGATGTTTATCACCAGATGAAGAGTGGAAATGGTTAAGTTCTGGTTTGTACCTTGACTTCATGATAAAGAGGATTGTTGTCATTTTGTTCTGAAATCTCAAATGATTGAAATGGCTAGTAAATAAGAAAATATGTCGTGTCATAATAATAAGCTAAGTATCCACAGCAGGTATTTGTAATTTGTGCATGCTTTTGGTATTTGTAAAGCTAAGCAAAGTCACTGTGTTAGGATTACTTTTCTAACATAAAGCAGAAAAATATACTGAAGCAATCTTCTTGTTTTAGATCTTCTGATATATATCAGCGAATTTAATGGCAAATCGGGCCCATTTTCTCCTTCCTATCTTTAGGTATAGGTAAAGAAAAAAATGTATTTTAGATGTTAATTGCATAGAATTGTTTTCAGTCTTACCCTTCTAAAGTTCGCCAAACCTTAAGGTAGTTGGAGTGGATTTTTCATGTTGGGATCCTTCATTCCATTGCTAGCAGATATTTAGAACCCAGAGATGAGTAGGTTCTTGGAAAACAGTGGTGCCTCTTAAATTATTGTGTTTTTTACAAAGTGAGGTGAAAACAAAAGTGCTTCAGTTCTCAGTTTCTATTTACTTTGTCCATTTGAAGGAAGAAGTAGAACACCAAGAGTTGTGAGCTTTTCTAGCTTCTAGCCTAAACTTTCTGCATACTTTTTCCTTGGTATGGGTTGATATGGATATGGGCCTTCCCCTTTGCTTAAATAGAAAAGATTCACAAATTTATGCCTAGATTGATTTTGTATTTTATTTTATTAATTAATTTATTTTAAAATGTTTGAGAGAGAGCTCGACCCAGGGAGGGGCAGAGAGAAAGGGGGACAAAATATCTAAACGGGGCTCAAACCCACAAGCCGTGAGATTGTGACCTGAGCTAGAGTTGAATGCTTAATCAGCGGAGCCACCAAGGCGCCCCCCAATTTTGTATTTTAAATTGAACAGTGTAAAATTTGAACGAGGCATCTGCCATCAGCTGGGCCTTTGTACTTTTTCTTGTGGAATGAGATAATTCTTTGTTGTTATAGTAATTTCTGGCAACCCTTTAGAAATTTTTTGAGAGTAGGTCTGGTGTGTTCCTTTGGGCATAACTGGCTGACTCTGAACTTGTTCCTCTCCAGATGGACATATGCAACCTTGTTGGGTCTCGAAGGGAAGAAGCTGGGGAACCTGTTTCACTTACTACCTTCAGGGCACAAGTCCTGGCCCCATACCGGAACTTTTGAATTGGAATCTCCCGTAGGGGATCATCTGTTAATCACAAATGCTTAACTAGAAAATTACTCTGATTCTGTTGGTCATAGAGTCAACCTTGTACATTTAGAAAATAATATTGCAAAAATTCTTGCTTTTCCTCATTTAGCATAGCCTTTACCTAAAGCAGCCTTTTTTCTATTTCACGTTTCCCTTTGTGTCCTGTTAGATAACCTTCTAGGTGTGGCTTTTATTTATTTTTTAAAATTATTTACTTATTTATTTCTGAGAGAGAGAGAGAGAGAGGGAGATACAGAATCTGAAGCAGCCTCCAGGCTCTTAGCTAGCTGTCAGCACAGAGCCCGACACAGGGCTCAAACCCACGAACTGTGAGATCATGACCTGAGCCCAAGTCAGACGCTTAACCAACTGAGCCACCCAGGTGCCCATAGGTGTGGCTTTTAAATAAAGAGTTTTAAAACTCTTTAGACATAATTAGAACTGATTTGTACAACATATAAAAGATTGGTACAGTGCTCTTGGCTTATGAAAGTATTGTTAATGACATTTGCATAGCTTTTGTGGCAAAGAAAAAAAAACCTCGTTCTTAAGTAATTTGAGTAATTGTCTAGAAAAAGTTTAGAGTAGCACTAAAATTTTTTAATATGGTTTACTTTTCGGTGATGAATATTAAGCACGGGTGGTATCTTGAAAGATAGTTAAAAATGTGCATCATCCTAAGTAGTGTTCTATTGGTAATCTTAATACTTAACAGTGACAATTTTCTTCTCTGTTTCTCTAAATTAAAAAATGGTCTTTTGGAAGTAGTTGTCTAATCATTTGGTCTTCAATGTTGCTTGTGAATTGTTTATAACTTCACCGGTTTCCGAGAAATTCCAGTAAGACTTGAGTGACTCGTTTTTACTTTGGGAAATATTCTTAATTTGCCAGACTTTTTTTTTTTTTTTCAAGTTTCTTGGAACAGTTTTGGTGTTAGAAGGAAAAGCACTTTTCCTTAAAATTTTGAACTCTGCTGGTTTTAAATAGGAATTAGTCCTTAGAGCCTGAATTTTCACTTCATTTATATTTCTTGGTTCTTGATACTGTTTTGGTGCAAAGGAAAATATTTTGAAAGTAATTCCAAGAATTTCCATAAGTACCCTTGAATTGATGACTGCCATTTGTCTTGGAACTGTTATTGTGCAAACTTGTGCTTCTTCATCAAACATTTGGTGGGACCTAAGGAAATAGGTCGTTGTTGGACTTGTGTTAATGGAATTTTCTGGACTGGTTTAATCATCAAATAATAAAAGTAATTACCAACTGTAAAGCTGAGCTTTATGATTGTTTTCGTTTTTAATTGATTCATTCTTGGACTAATTTATGACACATTCTTGATGTATGTAAATACATTATGTTTTGAAAGATACTCAAATTTGAAAGCAATACCATGTAAGAAGCATGTGTGGGATTTTGGTACATGTGTTTCTTTCTTTCTTTTTTTTTTTTAATATGCATTCTAACGAAGTACTCTGGTGGTTTCAGACTCGCCTTCATAATGTACAGTTCAGTGTGGCCTGTGCGTGTTGTTTTGTGTTTCCTGCATTGATTTTTGCCTCCATTTATTCTCTATTGCAGTCTAAAAGTTGGTTTTAATTGGTTGCCCACAGGATTGACTTGGCCTCTACTTCTTGTTAAGAAAATACATCTCTTGTTTTATCAGGTAAGAGATTTTGAATAGAGGGTTTATTTTTATACAAATTAAAATGAGATAGCTTCTTTAGTAACATGAAAATATGCGTAGTAACTGAATTGTGGGGGATTTTCTTTTACTTTTTTTTTTATAGTCTTATCTGAGGGAATGGGGGTGGGAGGGACTGGGTGCTTTGAACAGTTGTTGCTTTCTTTGGGGGTCAGTCTTAAATAGATGCATTTCTCCTGCAGAATTCCTGATTATTAGGCAGTAAGTAGCTGTTTTTTTTTTTCTCATTGTAGCATTCTAGACTAATTACAAATATAGGTGCTTGTCATTGGTATGGTTTTTTAATATTCCTTTGTGGTATAGGGATAGATAATGGGTCATATGTGTTAGAATACATATTTTGACTTTAGATGGAACTTTAGTGATTGGAATCTAACCCTCTTGTTAAATAACAATGGTAGGCTCCACGTAGTTGAAATGACTTAACTGTCAAATAGGCACTTAGTAGCAGAATAGAAGATCTTCATGTTTTTTTGGAACCTGAAAACTGTTTTTCACTTTAGATGGCTTTATGAATAAGTCTTATGCTTTACTTCGGTTTAATCTTTAGCCCTTTTTCTAGCTGGTAATCTGGGCAGATTTTCAGTATCATGTTTTCATATGTACTTTGCGCAGACATTCACTAAATCCCTTCTCTTAGTAGCAAATGGTTTTTGAAGAGTTATTCTGTGTGTCACTTTAGCCCTGTGTTTAATTTTTGTGTTCTTGGGACCATATCAAATTCCCATTTTACTGTCCCAGTGCAAACTAACATCTCTATCTCTCTCTCTCTCTCAAGTCTTTTTGGGTGCCTAGATTACTTACCATGATGTTTCTCCCATATAGTGATTAAATGATAAAGCATTTTTAAAGTTGAACAGGAATACTATCCTTAATTTTGTATATAGCCAATATGCTAGAGACAGTAAGGAATGAGAATTTGATTTAATGACTTGGAGTTGTCTTGATGAGCTTCCATATAGACTGCTAAGTAGTAAATAAGAGGAAAGAGTTTGTTGGTGTGATTAGTTCTTTTAGTATTAATTTTTCTTGCTGACTCTTGGAAACCAAAAACTAAAGGCTTCCCTCCTCCTCACATTTCTAGTGTTTTATAATGGTCTCATAAGAGTATTTTCTGCTTGCCAGTCCATCTTTCTGGATTATATTTGAAAGTGGGTTTTATTTCTGTATATGTGTGTGAGAAAACTGTCAAAACCAAACAATATATTTGTTTTGTGTATAGCAGTCATAATGTGGAGATAGAATTACAGATTTTATTTATCAGATTGGTATTCACATAATATTGACATGATAAACTGTATTCATGAAGGTACAGGATTCTTAGAGCTTGTAGCAGGAAACTTTGGTCTTTTAATTAATGTTCCTGTTTGAGAAGTGTTAAGGTTGGTTTTTTTAAATGTTTTTAATTTATTTTTGAGAGTCAGAGAGAGACAGTGTGAGTAGGGGAGGGTCAGAGAGAGAGAGAGAGAGAGACACAGAATCCAAAGACAGGCTCCAGGCTCTGAGCTAGCTGTCAGCACAGAGCCTGACGCAGGGCTTGAACCTGCGAACTGTGAGATCATGACCTGAGCCAAAGTCAGACGCTTAATCGACTGAGCCACCCAAGTGCCCCCAGAAGTGTTAAACACAAAGCTCAAATCATTTGTAATTTTCCTGAGGTCACAGAGCTATATATATATATATATATACACATCTGTATACATTTTTTAAAAGTTTATTTGTTTTGAGAGAGAGTCGGGGAGGGGCAGAGAGAATCCTAAACAGACTCCATGTTGTCAATGTGAAGCCTGATCATGGGGGCACAAATTCACGAACTGTGAGATCATGACCTGAGTCAAAGTCAGACCCTTAACTGATTGACAGAGCCACCCAGGTGCCTCTAATAGGTTTGTATTTAAAAGTTGGTTTTTAAGATGGCTTGGAAAACACTGTATGTTGACCTCATAAATTTCAAATTAATATTTTTTCTAGTTCCAAGAATTTATTTTGTATCTCTTTACAAAGGGCTGCCCTTGCATTTACACTTGAAAGCCATAAGAACTGAAATACTGAAATTTTACTTAAATCTGGGGGAAGCTTTTCTTTTTGACTAGTTAAACATGGGACATCTAAGACGATCAGTGAGCTCCCAGAAATTCCACAGGAATTCTATTGGGTAGGAGACTATAGCAATCACTGACTAAAGTTTATACCCTAGTTCTTTTTAAAACAAAAGCAAAAGCAAAAAAATACCCTTTTTCATATCAACCTTTGGTGGGGAAAATGTGTATGTGTGTATTGGTGGGTTTGGGAATGAGTCATTGGATCTGAGTTTTAATTAAAACAGCTATGGTGAATGGCACTGTAACCCGGTTCTATTTTTTTGGAGTGATGACTATAGGTAACTAAGATTTTTGGCTGCTTTATTCAGTAGTTCTTTTGGATTCTTAGTAGGTATTAACCTCATTTGTAATAAATAATTTCCTACGTCGTTTTCTATAATAAATAGACCTGTAATGCAGATTGAAGGGTTTTAGGATGAAATATAGAATCAGTTCTCATTTGAGACTTGAATCTACTGTAGTGTTAATTATTATTTCCAATTCATTAGTATTCCAGTTTTCTGTTTCTGCCTTGCATTTTGAGATTGAGTCATATAAAATGACACTGATAATTCCATGAAGTTGTCAAGTTTATAAAGGAAAATGCTAAGCCATTTTAAATATTAACTTTGATACATCCTTTGCATGTTTTCCTCTGCAGGTTGTTAAACTTTGTGTCCTAATCTGACTTATACATTTCTTTTATGTCTTACTGAATATTAGCGGTCTGAGTGATATAATTGGTGATTTTACTTTCTTATGGTGGTTTTTTCCTTGAAACTTTTGAGTCATAGGACTGAACTTCTAATTGTTTACAGAACTAATGTCTTTTGGAAGTTGAAATTGTCTAGGTTTTACATTGTAAATGGCACATAATGTTCAGTTTTTAGAATATTCAAATTAAAAAAAACCTACATTGCTTGTGATAGTTTGAGGGACTGTTTGAGGGCCTAAAGCTGGTCATTCTTGTAGCTAAAACCTTGGTGTGATAAACAGGAGTCTGACCTGGCCGTTGCCTTTTCTCATCTGCAGGTGTGTGTGGTTTCAGCGCAGCATGGCTGTGGTCATCCGTTTGCAAGGTCTCCCAATTGTGGCGGGGACCATGGACATTCGCCACTTCTTCTCTGGATTGACCATCCCTGATGGGGGCGTGCATATTGTAGGGGGTGAACTGGGTGAGGCTTTCATCGTTTTTGCCACTGATGAAGATGCAAGGCTTGGTATGATGCGCACAGGTGGTACAATTAAAGGGTCAAAAGTAACACTTTTGTTGAGTAGTAAAACGGAAATGCAGAATATGATTGAACTGAGTCGTAGGCGTTTTGAAACTGCCAACTTAGATATACCACCAGCAAATGCTAGTAGATCAGGACCACCACCTAGTTCAGGAATGAGTGGCAGGGTAAACTTGCCTACAACAGTACCTAACTTTAATAATCCTTCACCCAGTGTAGTTACTGCCACCACATCGGTTCATGAAAGCAACAAAAACATACAGACATTTTCCACAGCCAGCGTAGGAACGGCTCCTCCAAATATGGGGGCTTCTTTTGGGAGCCCAACGTTTAGCTCAACCATTCCGAGCACAGCGTCTCCAATGAACACAGTCCCACCACCACCAATTCCTCCAATCCCAGCGATGCCATCTTTGCCACCAATGCCGTCCATTCCCCCAATACCAGTTCCTCCTCCGGTACCTACGTTGCCTCCTGTGCCTCCTGTGCCCCCAATTCCCCCAGTCCCTTCTGTGCCACCCATGACCCCACTGCCACCCATGTCAGGCATGCCACCCTTGAACCCGCCACCTGTGGCACCTCTACCTGCTGGAATGAATGGCTCTGGAGCACCTATGAATCTGAACAATAACCTGAACCCTGTGTTTTTGGGTCCATTGAATCCTGTTAACCCTATCCAGATGAACTCTCAAAGCAGTGTGAAACCACTTCCCATCAACCCCGATGATCTGTATGTCAGTGTGCATGGTATGCCCTTTTCTGCAATGGAAAATGATGTCAGAGATTTTTTCCATGGGCTCCGTGTTGATGCAGTGCATTTGTTGAAAGATCATGTAGGTCGAAATAATGGGAACGGATTGGTTAAGTTTCTCTCCCCTCAAGATACATTTGAAGCTTTGAAAAGAAACAGAATGCTGATGATTCAACGCTATGTGGAAGTTAGTCCTGCCACAGAGAGACAGTGGGTAGCTGCTGGAGGCCATATCACTTTTAAGCAAAGTATAGGACCTTCTGGACAAACCCATCCCCCACCTCAGACACTTCCTAGGTCAAAATCGCCCAGTGGGCAGAAAAGGTCAAGGTCAAGATCACCACATGAGGCTGGCTTTTGTGTTTACTTGAAAGGGCTACCATTTGAAGCAGAAAACAAACATGTCATTGATTTTTTTAAAAAGTTGGATATTGTGGAAGATAGTATTTATATCGCTTATGGACCCAATGGGAAAGCAACTGGTGAAGGCTTCGTAGAATTCAGGAATGAGGCTGACTATAAGGCTGCTCTGTGTCGTCATAAACAGTACATGGGCAATCGCTTTATTCAAGTTCATCCAATTACTAAGAAAGGTATGCTAGAAAAGATAGATATGATTCGTAAAAGACTGCAGAACTTCACCTATGACCAGAGGGAAATGATACTAAATCCGGAGGGGGATGTCAGCTCTGCCAAAGTCTGTGCTCACATAACAAATATTCCATTCAGCATTACCAAGATGGATGTTCTTCAGTTCCTAGAAGGAATCCCAGTGGATGAAAATGCTGTACATGTTCTTGTTGATAACAATGGGCAAGGTCTAGGACAGGCATTGGTTCAGTTTAAAAATGAAGATGATGCACGTAAGTCTGAACGCTTACACCGTAAAAAACTTAACGGGAGAGAAGCTTTTGTTCATGTAGTTACTCTAGAAGATATGAGAGAGATTGAGAAAAATCCCCCTGCCCAAGGAAAAAAAGGGTTAAAGATACCTGTGCCAGGTAATCCTGCAGTTCCAGGAGTGCCCAGTGTGGGAATGCCCAATGCGGGAATGCCCAGTGCAGGAATGCCCGGTACAGGAATGCCCAATGCAGGAATGCCTGGTACAGGAATGCCCAGTGCCGGAATGCCCAGTGCTGGAATGCCCGGTGCTGGAATGCCTGGTGCCGGAATGCCTGGTGGAGGAATGCCTGGTGCAGGAGGTGAAGAACATGCCTTCCTGACTGTAGGATCTAAGGAGGCCAACAATGGGCCTCCATTTAACTTTCCTGGTAATTTTGGTGGGTCGAATGCCTTTGGGCCACCACTTCCTCCTCCAGGATTAGGAGGGGCCTTTGGTGATGCTAGGCCTGGTATGCCTTCAGTTGGAAATAGTGGTTTGCCTGGTCTAGGACTGGATGTTCCAGGTTTTGGAGGTGGACCAAATAATTTAAGCGGGCCAGGATTTGCAGGAGGCCCTCAGAATTTTGGAAATGGCCCTGGTAGTTTAGGTGGCCCCCCAGGTTTTGGAAGTGGCCCTCCGGGTCTTGGAAGTGCCCCTGGGCATTTGAGTGGGCCACCAGCCTTTGGGCCTGGGCCTGGCCCTGGGCCTGGCCCAATTCATATTGGTGGACCCCCTGGCTTTGGATCTAGTTCTGGAAAACCAGGACCAACAGTAATTAAAGTGCAGAATATGCCCTTTACTGTGTCTATTGATGAGATTTTAGATTTCTTTTATGGCTATCAAGTGATCCCAGGCTCAGTGTGTTTAAAATACAATGAAAAAGGTATGCCCACAGGCGAAGCCATGGTGGCCTTTGAATCTCGGGATGAAGCCACAGCTGCTGTCATTGATTTAAATGACAGACCTATAGGTTCAAGGAAAGTAAAACTTGTCTTAGGGTAGCTGTTCACATCAATTCTTTATAGGGTAGATCTTCATAGTGCTGTGATTAATGCATCCAGATTGTTTTCCTAGTATTTCCAGGTTAGAACCTGTGGATTGTTTCAATTGCATATAGATTGGTTTCTATAACATAGAGCATTGGTTGACTGTTTACAGAAGACTCACTACCAGTTTAAATATTGCTGTATGTTACAGTAAAGCTGTCTGGAGAGAACACCAATATGATTTTGGCATACCATTAGAGAAACCATTTGTAAAACACAAATGACCACATAAAGCTTATCAAGGAGTCTAGATCGGTTTTGTTTTCTATCATATGGGATGAAGAAAATAGAAATGTCAATAGAGCTCGTTAAGGGTGCTCTTGCCAGCTGCTAAAAAATAGAAGTTGGCTACTCTTGGAATTTGGTTTAAAGCTGGACAGATTTGCTTTGTTATAGGGTCAAAGCTTTGTCTAAAGTCCTCATTTTCTTTTAAAATTGAATAAAATCTCTGTATACAGATTCACTGTATGTACCTTTATTGCTTCTTGAGGGTTCTTGCTGTATAGACAGTCCTGCTTCTGAAGTTGCTGCTTTTTTGTTTGCCTAATTGACTCATTTGTAAATGAGCAGAACTGTTTTTGTTGTTGTTGTTTTAATATAAAACTCCACACTTGGTTTGTGCTATAACCTTGAACTTTGATTTCTAATGTCACACTTAAAACTGTGTGAAATAAGTACTTTTGCCACAAAAATAAAATACGGAGTCCTCTACCTACCAGAGCCTTTTTGGTTTGACCGCCATGTTTTTAGTTTAGTTGGTTTAAAAATTGTTCACGTTGTTTGGATGGCATCAAAAATCCGAAACTACTTGTAATAATCATTGTTTAAGATGCTGGATTTGAAGTCCTGTCCATGATGGACTGATGTTCTGGCAATTTCGTTCTGTCCCAAATTTATGTGAAATTTTGGGCTGTAACTAAACAGAGGGTCCATTTATAAGAAAGAGCAGTATTATATCTAGTTTTTTTAAAAAACTGAAGTGGAAATTGTTAGCTTTGTTAGCAGTAGTGTTATAGAATAAAAGATCCATAAGCTGTTCCATAGATGTGCATTTAATCCTGTTACTTGGGGGCTTTTTGGTATAGTTGTTTGATCAGGAGCCTGTTTATAAAAATTCTTCATACAGAATACAAGTGCAGCTGCCAGAGGGGAGAGAATTGAGACTCCTTGCCCTTTCATACTCTTTTCTTTGGCATTCAGGACACTAAGGCAGGAGGACCACATGGGTTCTGGTTGGTAAGTGTCCTTGTCATGAAAACATTTGCCTTACAACATCCTGTTCACTGCTACAAAAGGCTCTACTTAATGGTTACTTTCCTTCTTAGTTAAAATGTTCTAAAGATGTGTCACATTATATTATAAACATACAGAATGAGAGATTGGTGAAATATCATGAAAAACAAATTTTGTCTTTTACATGGTCCTCTGTCTTGGTTTCAAACATTCCCAACATTTCCTGCAAATCAATGTGCTTACAAAGAGGTCAGCCTTTTAAAAGAAGTATTTCCTGTTTAAAAAAAGAAAATAGTGCCTTTTTGGTGTTGCAAGTCAGTGGAACACTGAAATACAGAGTCTCGTATCATTTAGAGTTAAGAGTGGTAACAGTTTCATTTGTGTGATAAGATTTGGAGAGACTTTTCATCACTACAATATTAGAGGATTGACAGTACAGGATTTTTTTTTAGGGAAAGGATTATTTAGACTTTCAAAGAAGACATGGCTAGACATGGCTGTGTTGTGGGTCTTTTGACAATTCATGAATGCAAATTTGCTTTGACAGATCACTAGATATTGCCTCCTCAACTAAAAAAGCAATATGATGTTTATGCTGTTCAATTTAAGTTTTCTATTAAGTAATCATTTCTCATTCCAAAGACCAAGTGCAGAAAACTTCAGCGCTGCTTGGGAGTCTTATTTCAACTGCAGATTATTTTCCCCATTGGAGAGCTGACTATTTTCATTTTATCAGAAAAATGGGTTGTTTGAAAATGAAAGCCTTTTACCTTTTTCCACAGTTTATTTTGGTTATATGTTCGTACAATCTTATTAAATATTTCATATACTTTATTGCAACTACTTTGTTATTTCTACATCTTAGATAAATGCTGAAAAGGAAAACTTGATTTCATTGTTCACCAAATTAAATAAATTAAGAAAATAGTGGTTTGTGTAGAAATTGGAGAGAACTATGTTTCATATTGGTTGAGTCACAACAGTGCTTCTCTTGTTGTGAAATGTAATTAAATGCTTTGCCCTCTGGAACTTGATTTTTGTGTATCTGAGACTTATTAATATAGTGCTAACTGCTAAGCATACTGTTCATCCTGTTCTGGGCATTGGAGTTTGAGTTAAAAAAAAAATCTTGAAAATATGCTCTGTGAAATTATTCATACCTCTCTTCCTGCAAATTTTCTCATAATAACTAGGTTTGGGGTAAAAATGAATTATTTCTCATTTGCTTTGTATGGTATGAAGGATTTGTAAAGCTTAAAGTTGTGTGCATTTGTAAACACTATCATGATATTTTCAATTTTATGTGTAAATTTTGTCTGTTTTTGGTGACATGATTGGAAGAGAATCTTTCCATTAGGTTTAACCCCCCCCCGCCCCCCCCCTTGCTGGGGTGTTTTGGTTTTTTAGTTTAAAGGATTAGAGAAATATACAAAATGTATTTTATAAATGAGCAAATTTGTAATCTTTTTCTGAACTTCGGTGAAACATTTAGTTTGCAAGCAAAATTTGGAGGTGTATTCTGTGTTTAATACTGTAGATTGGATGTATAATTATTAGTGGCTTTTTTTTTTTTAACTGCAACACTGTTAAGTGAAATGTAGTTCCTAGTTTTGTGCTCCAAGTTGTCAAAGCATCAACCGTGAAAATTTCATTAGGAAACTTTATTCAGAATTTCAGAGAGTAATGTTCAGTGTAATTAGGTCAGTCTTAACACGATGAAAATTTAGGGCTGTGTATGTATGTAAGCAAACATTGGCTAAAATAAGGATCCATGAAAGCCTTAATCAAACTCAAAGTCCTTTTTATTGGATTCCGTCCAGTTGTGTACAGGTGTGGGTCAAATGTTTAAAAATAAATCCACTCATCAATTTCAGGAACACTTAAAAATGAGTAAAGAAACTGTAAAGTTGCTGCTAGTTAAATCTTCTATAAAGAATTTCTGGCAGTGATCACTTTTAAAACTTATTTCCCACGCTACCAAAATTAACACATTTAAATAGTTTTACTGGCAGTTCTACAGTAGTCCAAGCTTTAGAAACCAAACACAATAAAACGATTCATTGCCAATACGGCCACAATATTGCCAGCAAATACTGCCTTGGCATCATTCAGCAGAGGTTTTTGTTTATAAAGATGAAGTCTTCAATACTGTTCAATAAACTTGTCACAAAATAAAAGAGGCTGATGCTTTTAATGCTTTACACAAGAGTACTCTTTTGAGCTATACCATCAGGGTTTTTTATTTGTTTTGTTTTGTTTTTAACTCCTACAAATACTTTGTGCCTTTGGAAAGGTGGATTTGGTGATCTTGGAGGTAACCATTGTTGCTTATCCTTGTCTGCTAATGCTGAAGTGTGAAAAGAAGATACCTGGAACGGCAGGGAGGAAACTTGATTCTAGGTCAAATCGGTGGTATCCACCTTTTCAGACTTTTATCTTGTGTGCTTTGCTGGCAAGCCACTTCGTTATGTGGACTCAGAAAGAACCAGAAACCAGATGCTCCTTACAGAGGGAGTCTTAAAGGGGCCTATGAATTGTCTTTTTAAAAAACTGATTAAGAAATGGAAAAAGAAATCTTCAGAATGCATTGTCAGTTGCACATACTTCTAAAACTTTTTCTTTTTTGCTTACTTATTCTTGAATTAGTATGTGAGGTATTTTAAGGTGGGGAAGAGGGGAGAGAATTCAAAAATACTGCTGCTTTCTGACTTGATGCTTTTTGTCCCTTCCACATTTGTTCACCTGCTTAAAAAAATGGCAAACGAAGTTTCCATAAACTCCAGAGGCCTTTAAAAAAATCTGGATTGGAGTTGCAGATAAATTAGTGGGCTGTTCCTTTTAACCAAGGCTCTTGAAAAATAGAACTTTTACCTTCATCATGAAAGAGTTTCTAGTCTATTTTGAGTTTCAATACTGAAGTTGTTTGAGAGGGATTTAGGTTTAAACATACTTAATTCCAGGTGGTTGCTGAACTGTTCTAATGAAAGTTTGACTAAGCATTTGAAAAATCACAGGATGAAATCAGCTGCCTACAGAATGGTCCTTAACATCTTAAAGGGATAGACTGTATGCTAATAATAACATTTTGTTTTCTTGCTTAGTAGAGAGCCCTCACTTTTGATTCCTTGTTGTCTGCTTTCCAGTGTTTTGCAGCAAGAAATGGCTGATCAGTTTGTGCATCGCCACCATTCTCCTTACCCTCCAAAAGTAGAGCTTTCATAGGATAGGTAGAATCCAAACTTAAGACTACCCTTTTTAATTAAAAAATTGCTTGATATCAGTTTTGGTGTTTTTTAGTATAAAATCTGATAGATTGCGTTGACTTATCTAAAATGTTCTGGAAAGATTATACCCTGGTGGTGGCACAACTCTTTGATGCTGTAGTGACTTTTCTGAAAAAACTCTGTTTAAAATATGAGCAAGTTCATCTCTTAATGGTGCCTGTTCATGTAAATGTTAATTCTTTACTGTGCTTCCTGGATTTATTCTTGTTGCCTTGAGCTACTTTATGCCAGAGGATTTCAGAAGCTTCTTAGAATATGGCTCCTTTTCTGGACCCACATAACTAACAACTAGCAGCTAAGGTGGCACTACTTTTCTACATGTTGCTCTACTACTGAAGAGTCCAGAAAGGGCAAAAAAATAAGCCACTTGATGAAAGCATTCTAGCCCCAGGGTCAGAAGGGTAGCACTCTAAAAATCTGGTGGCAGGAAATAGGGCTGAGGAAAATCTCATTAATTGTTATCTTTGAATTCTTTTAAGAGGCCCAGGGACTTTTCCCTAGTGAACATGTTGATAGTTAAATCATAGATACTAAGATTTACACCAGTTGTAAAGAAGTGGTTAAATGACACAACATACATTGGAATTGGCACCTCAGCTGAACCAGACATCTGGATTCTGACTTTAGTAACTTAATATTTCAAGTCATTTTTCCCAGTCAGCCAAAGCCTTGCTATTTCATGTTGAGAGAAGGAGGGGGTGACTTTTTTGGGAAAATAGAGGCATGGCCAGCAGTGGAACATAATTCCGTATGGACAGGTTCAGATGTTGAAGAATTGTAACACTTCCAGGAGTAAGTGTGCTGTATTCAAACAGGCTGCCTTTTAGTGTTCGATTCCCTCTGTTCTGATACTACCACTTCCTCCCCCCCTCCCCCCCCTTCACCTGCTTACCTGCTGGTAACGAGGCCTAGGAGTTTCTCACTGCTATCTCTGTAGTCTAGCCTCTTAATGGTGGGGGCGGGCAGTTGGGGGGGGGGATGTTAGTTCACTCACCATTCTTCATTAGTCATTAGTCATTTGTCATTTAAGCATTTGTGCTCCATACCATATGTAACCACCGCACTGTGCTACCAATAAGTCACCTTGTTAGTCTTTGCAGAGTGAGGAAGGCTTAAGGATAAAGAAATTCAGCTACTTAAGGGGTCCTAATCATACTAACCGATGCTGCTGCTGATTTCATTTTCCTTTTGTTCCACTTGGAAGTGAGTTAATGCCATCCTCCACCACACTCCCCCACATATGGTGTTGCTGTACAGAGATGGTTCTGTCCTTTATACAGACTCCCTTCTGTGGTGTGGGCCTATGGGACCAGCAGGGTCCCTCTGCTGTAAATCGGGCTAAAGCGGAAAGACTAATGCAGCTCTTACTTTGTGAAGTAGATGCTTCCAGTTATCTTTGCTTCGATGATCATTGAATTGACAGGTTGGAATTGGAAATGTCTTTTGCCTCCAAGCTTCTAAGACAATTTCACGTGGATAATCAGCTTAGCCCTAGTAGTAACCCATGCTAACTAAATTTTTTGGGCAGTGTTATGCACCCAGTACTTCCATGATGTGGTAGAAAATGAAGCAAAATAAGATGCCTGTTCTTAAACACCTAAGGCTTTAAATTATACAAGTAAGTGCTCCATTGTACGCGTGCATGTCCAGGGTACACTCATGTCCCACAGGAACTGAATAAAGGGTTTCCTGGCCAGTTTCTAAATGGTCAGACAGGACAAGTGTAATGGAAGCCTTGTGTGTAAGCTGAGGGAAGGCATGATCTGTAACCAAGGTTCTTGGAGACATAATTTTAGTTTAATAAAATGAAATAATTGTGTGAAGGAACACAATGACACTACCTAAAATGGTATTTGTCCTGGAAGCTCTTAAAGTTGTTCCATAACAGTGTAGTCTGAGTGGTGTTACTGAGATGAGTGGTAAGGCAGGCAGGTAAGGGTTGGTAGTAGGGGTGTCCTGACCTAGTAGGGGGATAATAGAATCCTTTTATCTTTTTAATGATCTTTTAACTAGCTGCCCTATACCACGTCTTATAAACAGATGGCCATAAATGATTCAGAATTAAGTGAATTCAGAATTGAAGTGAATTCCCCCATCAGTTTAACCAGTTATATATAGTTGACTATTGGACATTCATTCATTTTCTAGTTTTACATTGATTTGATAGTTTTAGCTTTTCTGTATGAAGTGTCCACTTTGTTCTTGTTATTCCAGACCAGCATTGTCCAATAGTTTATTTTGAGAGAGAGAGAGTGCTCATGAGCAGAGGAGGGGCAGAGAGAGGGAGAGAGAATCCCAAGTAGGCTCCACTGACAGTGCAGAGCCAGACATGGGACTTGATCCCACAAACTGTGAGATCATGACCTGAGCTGAAATCAAGAGTTGAACACTTAACCAACTGAGTCACCTAGGTACTCCTGTAGTAGCTACGGTTAAATTTAATAAGCCACATGTGGCTAGTGACTACTGTATTGAACAATTCTAGGTTCACAGAGCAACAGAATTTACTCTTCATGTCTGATCTTTGGAGATTCCCTATGATAGGCACAACTGTCCAATAGAAATAAGAATCACTTATGCTATTTAAATTTTTCTAGTAGCCACAAAAAAGGTTAAAAAAAATGAAGTTAATAATACATTTTATTTAACTCTGTATATCCTGAAATGTTACCATTTCAGTGTATACGGAGTTATACACTGTCTATAAAAATTGGGGTTTTTTTAAGCCAAATTTTTAATATATATTTTAT